ACGACGCTGGAAATGCTGACAACTACTTTGTGATAGGAACATTTTATGTAACCCGGGGCTTTGTCATCTAGTGCTGCTCACCTTCAAGTTGCCACATCTGTGAGCCTTGGGCCAATCTTAGGCAGCCTTGAATGAAGACATTCTACGCACTCAGGCTGTTCCTGTTGATTGCAGTCGTTGGTCAAAGTAGTGCTATTTCAAGTTCATCATATCTCTGCTATTGCTCGAGCTAATATCAATTCCGAACGTTCATGATTGTCATAGGCCGTTTTGCCCGTTCGATACTAATCGATCTGACCATGTTACAGGCTCCCATTGAGCTGCAAATCGATTCAGGTATCGGAATGCATTTACGGCTCCGAGTCTGCGCGGAGCTTTAATGAGCTGGCCCGATGCACACTGCCATAACGAGTCTTGCTTGTTGCCAACTCGCACTAGCCTGAATCCTGGATCATCGCTCCAGTCATGCAGCAAGCCAGAATTGGTGTGTTGCCCTTGGCGTTGTTGTCATTTTTGACTAGATCTCTGACAGAAGGAATATCTGATCGTCCTTGTCGTACGACTGCTTCTTCGCGTCCCCCATACAAGAACGCTGCAACTGCATCTAGAGGATGCCGCCAGCAGTGGGCACATATGACCATGCGTGCTGGCGTTGGGATTGTGTCTGAATACCGCTCTCGTTAAACCCATCACAGGGGAAGCTCTTCGAAGACCGGTATGCTCCCATGCGCGTGACCTTCTTGCACCAGGTTTATTATTCTCGAGTCACTCAGTCGCTAATGTGGAAGAAGGGATTCTCACAAAGTGCACAGATGTGAGAAGTCGATTTCGTGATATTTTCTCTCTCTGGTTCCACGGCTCTGGCCAATTTTTTTTCAACTCACGAACCTGCGTTTTTCACTCGTCAGATGCCACTTCGTGGTGATGAACCTAGTCAAGAGCTTTAGTATCTCTTTACTGGTCGCCACGTGAACTCTGTATGAACACCTGATACTCCGTGCGTCCTTAAAAATCGTCACCATTTATGTATGTGATCGACTAAGAGGCTACATCAGGTATACTTCATGAAATGTACATGCGGCATGAACAATGAACATGTACATACTGCCATGCTTCGCGTTCCCACCCCCCCACTCCCTACAAAGTCCATCGGGGGGAGACAAGCCGCAGGCCCTAGTAACAATCTGAGTGGGGCTAATATTTACCACTAACGGCGCACAAATTTCCTCGTTCTTGCTAGCAGAGCAATATCTAAATATGTAGGATCATCTACTGATAGCATGAAAGGCCTGTATTTGAAATTTTCCAATTTGCAGATCTAAAGATTTCTCGGCAGTTTAATCACAGCCTATGTAATTGAATGCAATTGACAGCGCACTAGATTCCCAGGACAAAACAAGTCAAGCCCTGTCAAGTCACGACGTTTAAGGTTACACCATCTGGCACTGGCCAAGCGGGGATACTTCCGACCCTGTCCTCCGAATCAGGTATCCGACCCGGAGGCATCAGGGCCACACCCCCTCACACCCCTCGCCACGTTGTTGGTAGTGTTGGCGTCGTGGCGCCTACTAGTCGCATGGATCGAACCTTCTTCGCCACCATAACCTTCCATGACCCTTCGTTATGACTCATAAGTGCTCCCCTTTGTCGTCATCGTATCAATGGCCTCTGCATCGACGAAGACTTGTGCCCTCCCAACCTCATTTATTTCGTCCGTTCTTCTGCAAAAAATAATATCATAATTGCGGTTGCGAATACACTCTGTTGTGCACTGTCATTTTCAAAGCTCTGCGAAGAAGAGTACCGCACATATCCAAGGGGTATAACTCGGGTCTAACTTGCATATCACGTATTCCTGGTCAGGCCCTCCTGCTTGTTCTTGCGGCTCAGGAGCGATGAAATACAATAAATTGGTTTGAGTGGAGCTATTCGATTCCCTGGGCGGTAGCCTTATGTCCACAGACGTAACAAAGCCCAATGCTGTCCTATCACGAGGTGTGTAATCAAACTCGAACCATTCCAGTCACTAGGCCCTTCCGGCTGGCGCTATTAGAGTCTAGCCATTGCGTATTGATCGGCATTTAGAGCGACAGCTCGGAAATTCTCTCTACTTCGTGTCCTCATGCTCTGCGGTGCCGTCAGTCGAGATGATATGTCATTTGTCAATGTGGTAAGTTTATATGGTTTACTTCCGGGACTTCTGCGAGATTTACTCGGTGGAAATTGGTAAGCTCCATTATCGTCATTCAAATCAGAATTCGTCGGGTACGAGGAGAATGCTTACCCTGCCGCTAATTATCACCAGTAGGACTCAGACTTTTACACCGCGGCCATGGGTTATATGTCTTTCCGAGGGTGCGAGTTTCCGAATCGCTGCGGCTACCACAACTTTTGATCTCCCTAAAATGAGCTCAGACTTTATCATCACCAGGTGGGTCTAGGTAGGGACGGCGATCTCATAGAGAATCAGATCTTAATAGACCACTTGACGCCGCTCGCACTCGACGGAATTATGCGTTCGACGAAGAATCGTGCAGCGCCGGTTGCACGGCTTTTGTTGTGCTTTTAGCATTAATTATCCGAATGCGCTGATGCCTGACTCGTTTAGTGCGCTTCGAACTAACTTTGAGAATGCCCCCTGGCAGTCGATGTCTAAAAAGCGGAGTGATTGAAACACGATGCAAACTAGACTATAACTCCTCCAGGTGTTCAAATTGAGGCCTCCTATGATGGTATCAACCGGAGGCAGTTTCTAGCCTGGCATAGGAACCGTAGCCTATAGACTTGAGCGCTGTTGTCTAGCATCGTCTTTGTTCATAATCAAACATTCGGCCTCTGTGGTGAAATACTTCCATGGAAGCAAAGGTTGCTGTGCTGTGGGCTGAGTAAGCGAAATTCAACTTCCCCCTCATGACTCGGTAAGTCGACACGAACGACGCAAAATCTGTTTTTCTCCCTTAGCACTCAGCTTTTGCCACCGTTTTTGCTCGAGCATGGTCTCTGCACATGCCAACAATGAAGGCTCACAGGAGTCAGCATCCATCACACCTGGAGGAACGTACACCATCCAAGTAAATTTCCGCAGCTTCAGTTCACACAGACCTCCTTAGTGCTGACTCATCAATTTTTTTCCGCAGACCGTCTCTGTTGGGTGCAAAATCTACATCCGCCGTCCTACCCCAGACGGGGAAGAAGAGCGGCTTGCAGAAATACTATCAATTCGCGATAAACCCGTGAACTCGTATACTTCAGCGTTAGCTCAACGTACAAATTCCCGAGGTGGTGTGAAAGAGGAAGAGGAAGATGCGCTCGACAAACTAGAAGACAAGTGGGAGTATTTTGTCCACTGGGATCAGTTCAACAAGCGTCTGGATGAGTGGGTGACGGGATCTCGGCTTATCTTGAGCAGGGACCTCGAGTGGCCCCGTCCAAAACTGCCACCGGGCAAGAAAGCTGGGCCTGGCTCACTACAGAAAGCTCCAGGAAAGGCCCCTCGCTCCCAGTCACTATTGAAGAAAGCGACATCAAATGCGGCTGCGGCTGCTTCGCCCACATCTGCTTCAACCCCTGGCCGCTCTGCTTTTCCCTCGCCATCACCTGCCCCATCATTGAAGCGGAAGTTAACCGATGATGAAGAGGAAGAAGAAGAAGAAGAAATGGAAGGGGATGACGTAGACGCCGAAGGCGAGATGGATGTCGATGGTGAAGGGGACACCTTCGAACTTAACGTCAATGGTGCACAAGTAGAGACACCTCCTCCCGTCTCTTCATTCAGCAAAGAACAGGAAATCGAGAAATTGCGGACATCCGGTTCGATGACCCAGTCAATATCAGAAATCGCGCGGGTGAAGAATCTAAACCGTTTGCAGATCGGCAAACACGAGGTTGAAGCGTGGTACTTCAGTCCATATCCAAAGGAATATGCGCATCTACCCGTGTTGTACATCTGCGAGTTCTGTCTCGCATATTTTCCGTCGCCCATGATGCTTTCGCGCCACCGACAACGTTGTACGCTATTTCATCCACCTGGCAACGAGATCTACCGCCACCAAGACATTTCGGTTTTCGAACTTGATGGGAAGCGGCAATTAAGCTGGTGTCGGAACCTCAGTTTATTGTCCAAATGTTTTCTAGATCAGTGAGTCCTTCTCGGCGACGAAGCTCAAACATCTGACTGTGCCTTATAGCAAGACGTTGTACTATGACGTGACACCGTTCATGTATTATGTCATGGTGTGTACAGTATTATTCTGTGTTTATCTTATACCGACCGTAATCCCAGTGTCTACGAGATTCTACAGGCTGCCATATCATTGGCTACTTCTCGAAAGAGAAGGAGTCAGCGGAGAATTACAATGTCGCATGTATCTTGACGCTGCCGCAGCATCAGCGCTACGGCTTTGGGAAGTTGCTCATCGAATTTTCTTACGAGTTGAGTAAGAAAGAGGGGAAACTCGGCAGCCCTGAAAAACCCCTGAGCGATCTGGGTCTACTCAGCTACCGTGCTTATTGGGCGGAGGTCATCGTGGAATTACTCATCAATACGACAGATGAGTTGAGCATTGACGATATTGCACAGAAGACGTCTATCACCCATGCGGATATAATGAATACGTGTGTGAAAGAACCTGTCGTTTGGAATGTAACGCTAAATGAATTGCTTGCAGGTGCACAACGTTGCAGCTATTTAAACACTACAAAGGACAACATATCATTTGTCTCTCGGAAGCCGTTTTGGAGAAACATGAAAAAGTGCGAAACAAACGCAGGCGTCGGATTTATGCCGATAATTTGATCTGGAAGCCACCTGTCTTCACCAGAGATCAGCTGCGGTTTTACTGATCACCTCACTTCACATCTTGGCCAGTTTCTTTTGCGTGTTTGTTTTCTGATCGATAATATTACTGTAGCTGTAGAGTAAAAAGGGACGTTGATCGGTATCATGTCATCGTACACGGTGCAAAAAATGTAGTTCTAGCGGCGATTCTAAAAAGGCTGATTTAATCATCACTTTTCGTTTGGGCGCCCCGTCGGCGCAGAATCATGGCTTCATCCTGTGCATCACGTGGGTCTTCCATTCTCATTGCCCCATCTTCTCCAGGCAGGTTCTCGTGGGGCAGAACCGGTGATGATGGCTGAGACGGGGAAGGCGACAGAACGTCAACACTAGACAACTGTAGATCCTCCTCTCCCGTGAAGTATGCATGGAGCTTCGTTTCTTCTTCCTGTACTCCCGCACTCCTCATGTCGGTATTATATTGCCGATGAACCGAAGATATGTAGCTGTCTTGCTCCGCGGGGAACGATTCCTCGGATGACGTATCTTCAACAAGGATCGAGGGCGTGCCCTCAGGAGTCACAACAGGCTGGTCGCTTGTTGACGCTTTGACATCGTCAACAATGCCGAGAGTACGTGCGATCACATAGGAGGTGATATCCTAGCGAGGAATCAAAGATCAATAATTGAAGAAGCAAGGATCTACAAATTCGGCAAGGTTGGATACGCACCAGCAGTGTCAGAATCACGACTGGCAGAATAAGCAGGAACGCCAATATGCGGAATGAATATGCGACCTGACTGACCCAGGAGCCAGGATGCGGGTTCCATAGATATTCGATGTATGCATGCCATACAAGACGAGGTGTGGAAGAGAACGAGAGGTGCGAGCTGTATTGGGAACCCATTCTGAATTAAAATGCACTGCGGGAGGGTGAAGGGATTTGGAGCAGCTCGCTTGCACGAATATGCAAAAAGAATGCTGGCAAGCTGCAAGTTACGCCCGCGAAAGGGTGATTTAGATGGTGTTTTGGACCCGATACAACGATTTTTGATTGCGCATGGATTTTGGAACACCCGTGATTACCAGATAGCGTTTTTGCACCCGATACGACAAACGCGTTCGCGTGTAGGGCGATGATAGGTGGGCGTACCGCTGTCAAATATGTTGATATGATGGAATGTAACGTACAAAACTCGAGAACTTGGCGAACTCAGTGCTCAGATCTGATAAGGAGAAACTGAGATGACGACTGTAACAAACCTAAAGAACAATGCAGTTTCACGGTCTTTGCCGTATCGACCATCTTGATGGCCGACAGACAGGAGATAGAAACATCAAATCGAGATTCTTCTAACAGATATGATACAAGGGGGGCTACATAGTACTGTCTCGCGCTGGAATTTAGTTGGGTCCATGGTGTACAGATAGCAACTATCAGATCCTAACATGTTCAAAGCATTGGGAATGGCGAAATTATAGGGATATATCCGAGCAGGCAGACCAGGCCACAAACGAGCACCAAAGATATACCGATAAATAGAATCAAGGGAACATAACAGGTGACGGGAACACAACACCATCTGGCCGTATCATGATAATCGGACGGCGTTTCGCAACTTGGTTTTCTGGAGGTAGGCAGCCCAACACTTCGGTGCACCTCACCTCGGCATATGGCGAGGGGTCTGATCCGAAAAAGATGTGTACTGGATCTGCCTTGTTGAAGTTTTCTCCGTATACAGTCAACATTTTTGATATGTGGGGATTAGGTTTCGACAAGACGCCACGCGATTGTGCGCAGTTAGACTTTGGTGCCTCCGCAGCACGGTCAGGAGGAAGATATTTCACCACACCCGGGAATGGAGTAACGGGCTTCGATGGGATTGGGAATGATCCTGTTTGAGGGGCGTTTTGATTGTCGAACAATACGGGCGGTACATAGAAGTTGTATCGCACTTGATCTGACAAACCAAAGTTTAGTCATTGGACAAATGGGAATGGAAAATTACGTAGTACCTGTGCCGACAATAGTCCAGACGCTCGTCTCGCCGATATCCACTTGCCAAAGAGCACCCGATGATGCGCCGGCGTCACTAGTAGATCCGCGACGCCCAGAAGACGCAGACCCGGCGGAGGTCGGGCGCCGTCGCCCTTTTGGACCCGGATTCTTAATGACACCGGCACTTGATGTTGAACGTTTCCCCTTCTTCACGCGCCCGCCGTCATTTGAAAAATCATTTGATGAAGACGGCGATGCTGGTTCGCTTGCAGTGGCCTGCCCGAAATAATCGGCACCCGACATGGACGCCGGTGTTGAAACTACAGGTGATCCAGGCAGAATAGGGGATGTCGACCCTGCATTCGGCGGATTGTTCCACAGCCGACCCTCAATTGGACGGTAGGTGTTAACTTTTTCACCCATGCACGACAAGAACGCGCCCGTTTGTACCGGGGGTTCCAGGCTCAGGCATGCCTTTTGTTGAGTCATAGACTTCGAAGGCGATCTTGTGAAGCTGGGAGACTGGGTCACCACACACTTCGCCTGGTGAGCAATAGTGGTCTGCAACACCCTTTGCACCTTCTTGAAGGCCTCCTCCAACTACTGTCGTCTGATGATCAACTTTCCGGATAATCAAGACGGGAGACACAACGCCCGAGACCAGGCACTGTAGCACCACTGTCTGGTTGTAATAGATTGGTATTTGGCTGCCGTTGTTGGTGAAAGGAATGGCATTTGGTGGAGGTGAAGGATAATCAGGTTGTGGAGGTGGTGGGGGAGGGGTATCAATTCCGCCAGCTGGTTTGTTGACATCGACAATGTACATCACAAACGGATCTAAGATGAAAACGTCAGTGAAGGCAGAAAAATGTGTAGGTGAAAAACTGACCCCAGCTGGCAGTTCGTGCAATGAATGATGGAGTGCTAGATCGTGCACGGGTATCGATCCCCATCAAAGGTGCACCGTCAGAACCCTTGAAAGAGGAACCTGAACCGGAGACACAGAGGTATTTCGTCGAGACGGTCTGAGACCGCAGACGATGGAAGAGTGAAATCGTTGAACCATGGTTTATACATACTGGAGGATCATGGTCAAAAATCATCATGAGCCACAGTGAATCTACGCACGCTCAAGATTCTTTGCGCTCTGTCTCTTCTTACTTGGCTTGCTGATAACTTTGATAGGACGGCTTGGGAAAGTGCCGATAACGCGTTCAGGCTCATCGTCAGAAGACGGAGCAGTGATCTTTACAAGCGCTTCAACTTTTTTCTTCTTCTCGTCTACATCACTGATGAACAACTGCTTTCCAACGCAACGACCAATGTATGTTGTGCCTGTAGGGGCATCATTTACATCAAAGATCTTGCCGGAGGCGGACGTCCACTCGATGGAACCCTCTTGAGGGACAGGTTCGCCCGATATGCAGACGGTCACGCGAGGAGGGCAAAGTTTCGGCTCTTCCCCGCGGCGTACCACGTCAGTCCACCAAGAGTTGCCAATCATGATTGCAGTTGGAGGGGGGCAAAGGAAGCGTTTCTCAGTGCCGTATGATTTTTGAGCCACTCTGCTCGACATGACGATGACCGTGCGTTCACCAAACGCGAGACGGTTTGGCGTTCGTACGTATTGATCGAGGTAGGGTCTAAATAGCAAAGGCATTAGACTCGGAAGGTGTATTTAACGTAATAATATTTACCGAATGAAAGCCTGAAGATCGTTGGAAGAGCCCATACCAGGATGCCCATTTCTCATCCCAGCAAAACCATCCCCAATGCTGGGCATGCGGAGAGACATGTCGGCATGGGGGTTTCCAAAATATTGCACATCATCGTAGCCAGGAAGGCCAGAGTCAGGGCGGAACGAGTGCGTTGCTTGCGGAGCAACGCCACGGAACATATCAGGGCTGTGTCCCATATGTGAAGGGACAGAAGGAGGTAGACCAGAATGGGGAAAACGACTGTCAGGTTGCAAGCGCATGCGATCTTGGAATGGTTGAAGAGCCGATGGAGGGTAGCCCGCACCGCCGTTAATGCCATAATCTTCGGGAAAGTCATTGTGATAGCCAGCCCCGCTGACACCGGAAACACGGCGATCGTTGAGGAGTTCCGGGTACGCGTGGCCGTTGGAAAAGTCCTTCTGGTGTCCATTTATGCCCAAAGAGTGGGGGAAGACCGGAGATTGCTGTATGCCAGTCATCGCGTCATTGGGGGTCAATGGAGAGACCTTCCCACTCGAGTACGAGACATTGCTCATCATGTCGTAAGTATTGCTGGAGCTAAATGATGGAACGGAGTCGCCAAAGGAGGCATGGGAGTAGACTCCGTCTGGGCTCATAGCGTAAGGAGGGCCCAGAGACGAAGAAGAAGAAGAATTGGCGCGGTACCGCTGAGAGGCAAAATTGTTATTATTGTTTGAAAAGAGATCATAGGAGGGATGATCTGAGACCTCTCTCGAATCCGAATGATCAAAGTTATGTTGAGGAATTGTTTGAGATAAATGGTGAGATGGAGAGGCGTTGTCTACTGTCTGCAATGAGTTAAATGCTTGATCGAGGTCAGCCTGGTTGTACATTGGCTGATGTGAAGCTGTTGCAAAGTCCATCGCTCCTGGACGGGGTATTGTTGTTATATCGAAATGAGAAGGACGAGAATGATTATTGAAAGAATGGATGGATAGAAGGAAGGCGAAAGGTAGCTGATGATGTATCGTCAGACGGGGAAGCCTGAACGAGCTGTGATCGGTCGTCGGGAATTGCCGCTGTCATCACGGAAACCCAAGTGGCGCTTTGAGCCATAAAAATATGAAGGCTTATGAACGGGTCCGTACAGGTAGTTTTTATCAAGCTTATCGGTAATGCTGTAAACTTGACGGTACTTGGCAATTACGATCTTGATGAAAAAGTCTCGTCAGCATATCAAAATCACTTTGTAGTGAAGCAACTAACCTGTTCTTCGTTCTACTGATCTCTATCTTTTCTAGACGTGACTCTATAATCGGTTGCGGTTACTACCTGTGGTTGGTTGGTTGGTTGGTTGGCTGGTTGATACAATGGTACACGGCGGCAGATATGAATGTCAAATTTATAATGACAAACAACAGACCACCAAGGTTAGGTTAGGAAGCGCGAGGTAAGCAACGTTGCCGGCAAGATGTGGAACGGTGAGGTAGGCGACGGCCCGCGAGCTTTAAGGGATACCGTGACGTCTAGTGGACAGTTATAACGGCAGAGACGAGCTCGAAACTAAAAGGTGCAACAAAAGGTTCATATCAGCACGGTGCGCCGTCGCTTTTATAGATCTCTTAGGCTGACATAGAACTCTAATTGCGGCAAGGCAACATTTCCATTTCACGAAAGACATGATTTCGCGAAATACCGCGGCCGACTTGATTCATGAAAAAAAGGTTCCGTGTTTCTTTGCTATCACTGCGTTCTGAATGATTCGACTTGCCCAAACAATGAATGATCTCGATCTATATCGTTGCCTTCTCGTGCCTACCCAAGTCCATCTTCTTCAAGTTCGACCTATCGGCGCGCTGGCATATTTCTGGCAGTCTACCCGCTCCGAAATCTCATCTGTTTCATCCGATCGGATCTCTCTCGACCTTGTGGCATTAACTCTTCAAGTATCGCACGCGGCGGAAATACTGCACCCATCTTACCCAACCAATCTTCGTTTTCGGATGTCACCTATTTTGAAAGTCGCTCGGTTACACCCGTCAAGAGGTACGTATGGCAGTTCCATCAACATAATCTCATTCTTGGTTGCCGTGATAGTCGAGGATAGACGCTTTGGTTCGTCGTAATCTATCTCAACTGTTGGAGCCACCCAGATGCGGCGCCCCCCCCCCCCCCCCGATTTGGGGATAGTCAGTGACCTGCCGTCCCTGCAGTGTGACGATCAGCCTC